TCGATCGAGAAATAGGTAGAGAGATGGATGGATGGATCGATAATTTGATAAACTGGCAGATAGGTAGAGATAGATAGATGGACAGACAGATAGATGGATAGATAGAGAAATGTCAAATATCATGTTGCACTACTTGTCACTTGTGCATGCATGATGTACACTACCCGACTGCAGGCCTTGAGTCTACCAGGAAAAGAGTGCATGCTGGCTGACTACATTTGTGCTTGTGACAACAGAAACAACACTTGCACTTGCAGTAAAGTACCAACGTATTTTAACGTGGTAGCGGAGCTGAGATCCTAAACATAGGGGAGCTCCAGTAACAGCAGTAAGTACTACAACTGCACAGGCAACCACATGCCCAACTATTACGACATGTCAGGAGAACCAGCAGCAGCATCAGCACAACCAACTACAGGAGCAGACAACGGGCCCACAGCAGAGGAGACAGTAGGAGCCACAACTACGGGAACAACACAGGAGCAGGAAGACGTCCAAAGGCTACAGAAATACAAACTGCCACCACCGTTCTTCACTGGTGACTACTCACAGTACGAAGAGTGGCTGTTCAAACTACAAGCATACCTTGGACTCATCGACCGAGACTTCGACATGGTGCTACAACTAGCACAAGCAGCTACAAGACAAATTGAAGATGCAGACATCAGAGCCCACATACGCGACCCTACACAGGCAGCAAAAGCAGTAGACCTCTCACGAGATCTACACTACATCCTCATCAACATCTGCCAAGGTGCAGCAGCTACAGTGGTCAGACAAAACCGCTACAATGCCAATGGATGTGAAACACTACGGCTTTTGCACAACAGGTTCAGCCTACCAGTAGGAACACGCAGTGTTGGCTACCTCACCAAACTACTGGAACCTACATTCAATGAAGCACAATTTGAAGAACAATTCCTACAGTGGGAGTATGACATCAACCGCTACGAGAAAGACAACGGCACAGCACTACCAGATGGAGTGAAGATTGCAATACTACTCAACAAGACTAAAGGAGCACTTCAACAACATCTCCAACTACGCGCTGGACAGATCACGAACTACAACGAGATCAGAGTTGTGATCCTGGACTACTACAAAACCATATCTGCATTCTCAAGAGCGAGCTCAGCAGTTGGCACAAACTACAATGGTGGAACAGCACCAATGGACGTGGACAACATTTGGAGAAAAGGAAGAAACTACAAAGGCAAAGGCAAATATGGAGGCAAAGGACACTACAAAGGAAACAAAGGAAAAGGCAAGTACAGAAGCAAAGGCCACTACAAAGGATTCGACAAAGGCAGCAAAGGAAACTACAACAAAGGAGGATACAACAAGAGCAAAGGAAAAGGCTACTCAGGATCCAAAGGATATGGATCAAGCAAAGGCTACAAAGGCCAAGGAAACTACAGCAAATCAAAAGGGAAAGGAAACAACAACTACACAACATGCCATCGATGTGGCAAGCCCGGCCACTGGGCACAAGACTGCAGAGTGCCAGTATGGCACATAGGAGAAGGAGAAGAACTACATCCAATAGAAAATGAACAAGCAGATCATGACAACAATGAAGAACTACCTCAGGATGTGAACGACACCTGGGACTGGTACTACGAAGGAGAAGAAGGACAACACGAGGTGAACTACATGGAGGAGAACTGGAACGACTACGATTATGACAACAGCTGGGATTGGAATGACAACAGCTATGATGACACAGCAAACTACATTGGAGGCATCAACGAGTCACACCTCGCAATTGGACACATCAGACAAGCAAACTCACGACTACACAAGCACAAATCCAAATCACTACTTGGCAAGAGAACAACACACACAACATCATGGAACGACCACAGCAAGAGCTTTCAACAATTCCTACAAGAAGACAACACACAGCCACACTTTGACATAGCAGCAGCAAGACAACAACAAAGGAACAAGACACCATCACACACTACATCATGTACTCCAACTTCAAGTCATACCACCACCTGTTGATCGACTCAGGAGTACGAGCAGAGAAGATCGACATCCCTACTGGATTCGACATCTACCCAATGACTACATACAATGGAAAATCCATTGCTGTGATTCAACCTACAGAGAAAGCAGTACAACAACAAGAACAAATCGCACCAATTACCCACACAGACCAAGGACTACGACAGATCCTTGGTGGAAACACTGACTACTGGAAACTTGACGGTGACTACGCCATCAGAGTACACAAACGACCACGCAAAGCACTATTCACACCACACAACAGCGGCTGCCCAATACCTGAAGGAGAACTAGATGATTGGCGACTAACCATCATCAACAGACAAGGGCAAGAGCAAGAACAACTACAAGAGAACCCAACACAACTTTCCAAGCAAGAACTACAACGAAGACTAGAAGGTGACAACTGGACTGGAGAAACCAGATTCAGAAGAAAGATAACACCTACACGCAGAGCAACATCAAAGACAACACCAACAAGGCAGAGCTCACAACCACAACGGCTAATGGACACACCACCAACCAGATCAAAGATCCAACTACGAGCACCACAAAAGATATGGAGACCTAAAGCAGCACCTTCTACCAATCTTGACACCACACAACCAAAGGAGACAATCCACAGACCACTCACAGCACAGGAGGACAACCAAGACTACTGGGAAAGACAAGGTGAACACTGGATAAGACACCACACAACACTTAGAACAACCCTATTCACTCCAACAGATGGACCAGGACATCCACCAATCAACACACTTGAACCTCACAGAACTACAATCACTCACAACAACTTTGGAGAAGTTTCACAACGCAAAGATGACTGGACAGTCATGGGCAACGCAGCACTACCATTTCAATGGAAAGGAACAACAAGGTTCACCGTGAAGAAAGACTACGAGTACATCCAGGAGAACCACGATGAGGAACAACAACACGAGCATCATGAAGCACACAGAGCAATAGGACTACGACAACCTCAGCAGCCCACTCCACAACAAATAGCAGAACACAACTTGACACACCTACCATACAGAAATTGGTGTCCAATTTGCGTTCAAGGCAAAGGACGCCAGGACAACTACAAGAAACAACAATCACGACAACCCATCATCCAAGTGGATTTTGCCTACATCAAATCACAACAAGATCCGAAGACCATACAAGTCTTAACGGCAGTTGATGTTACTACACAACTGTGCATGGCGGTATTGGTTCCGGACAAACCACCGATGATGGACTACATGATCAACAACCTACAAGCATTCATCTTTGAATGCGGAAGAACACACGGCATACTACAAAGCGACAACGAAGACACACTCAATGCACTACTACAAGCAACAGCATCTAAAGTCGGCTCAATGACTGTACGACATTCACCGTCCTACAGCAGCAACAGTCAAGGAAGCGTTGAGCGACTACATAGAACACTCCTCGGACAAATCCGCGTCGTCAAAGCTCAGGTTGAAAGCAACTACAGCATGACGATGTCCACAAAGCACTGTCTACTACCTTGGATAGTACGACATGCAGCATGGACGGTAAATCGCTACGTCATCCACTCAGACGGCTACACAAGCTTTGAACGCCGCTGGGGAAGAAACTACGAGCGAGCAATCTGCGAATTTGGCGAGACACTACTCTACCTTCCACCACAACACAAGAAACTCCCAAAAGCAGACCTACGGATGCAGAAATGCATCTGGCTCGGAAAAGTTTCTGAAACCGGAGAAAACTACGTCGCAACAGAATCAGGCGTACAAAAGGTACGAACAGTGCGGAGACTACAACCGGACTTCAAATACGACCTCGCACTATTGAACAAAGCTTCCGGCACACCGTGGGCACCACGACGGAACACCTACAACCCATCGTTCGCAACACTGTTGGATGCGCAACTACCACCGTCAGAGAAAAGAAGGTCCACGCAAGACTTCGGACAACAAACGAACGCTACGGACGACATCGTTGCGGAACCCGCAACAAAACAACAACGCACCACACCACCTCCACGACTTCCGTCAACATCGACGTCAAGTTCACGACCACTACCGGATAGTCCGATGGCTACTTCACCAACCGGACGACAACATCCACCACTACCAGCACCACCTCGACAAACACTACGACGTTTAACTCCGGAAGAAGTAATGCA